CACTAATTAGAAACAATAAGTTAATTACAATGGATTAATTATTGCTGTTAATACAGTAATTAAAATAACAATGGATTAATTATTGCTAATACAATAATAAAAATAATATGTAAAATAAAAAATTAGCTATTATTAGTATTCTGATAAATTCATTTGATTGAAATCATTCCAAAAAAAATATAATTAATATTATTTATTTATTTGATAAGTATATAATTACAACTGTAATTAAATAATGTGTTGAGGGGAAGAAAAAATATATTTCCTTTCTTCTGTATTTTAATTTTAGGTAATAATAGTAATGAGTAGGCACTAAAAAAAAATACTTTTTCAATGTTAGAATTATGAAATATCAAGATTAAATTAATTTAAAAAATAATTTGAAATGAAATTAAAATGGTGAAATAATTATTGTGTCTTTGTATTTGTACCAATTAAAATGGATAAAAATACCTTTTAACCTATAATTTAACATGTGATGAAATAATAATAGTAATAATAATAATAATAATAATAATAATAATAATAATAATAATAATAGTAATAATAATAATGATAGTAATATTATTAATGATAACAAAAATAATAATAATAATGATAATATGTTTTAGGATGTGCATTTCATCAAAATACCTCATCGCCATATTTGTCTCTTCATCAGGAAATTATTATCAAAGGTCGTCCATCCAATAATTTCCTTTATTTACGTACAAAAATTGTTGATAATGCATGGGGTGGCATTTTGATTGGAAATTTTTGTTTGCCATTATGGAGAAATATTGAACCAAAGGTGAAATTAATATTAATTTTTCTCAGATATTTCAAATATAATTAATTTTTACAAAATTTTAAACCATTTTAAGTATTGCAACAATTATCCATATTATTATCCATTCTAAATTATCTATTTCTTCAGTTCAAATTTTTACTATATTAATTTTTTAATTATACATCTCTTTATTCTAATTTCTTTATAGAAGATAGATAAATCGTTCATAGTAGCAGAAATGAATTTACAAATTAGTTATTACAGGATTCATATATATATATATATACTTTAATATATAATATATTAAAAGCATAAACTGTAATTAGAATATTTTCGAATAAGTACAAACTTTCTTCAGAATTTTTTATGCATCAAAAGATTTAATGAATTTTGCAATTTTATTTTTCAAAATTTCAATTTCCAGAAGTTTACACTAATAATTACTTTTATAGCTTCTTTCTTCAAGATCAATTGCTAGAAATTGTAATATTTGTAGAAGAAAATATTCGTAAAAATTTTAAAAAATCTTGAAAAAAATGAAAATATTATAAAATTGTTTCGTAAAATTTATTTAATTTAATTTAAATCATTAATTGCCTTAATTAACTTACAATTTAATTTATTTTATAATTTATAGGTACAACTTAATTTATTATATAATTTATAGGTATTGATAAGTTGGACTGAATTAATAGGAAATCGTTATCATCCATCCATCGAGATATTTGCATGTCAAAAAGTTGGAATGGCTAATACTATAGTTGATTTTACCGGAAATCGGATTGAAGATGGTTTAGGAGTAGGTTTTCGAATGGAACCAGCCGTAAATACCATAACAATTATATCAAGTAATCAATTTATTGCAAATAATAATACAGCTCTGATCATTCGAAATGCTCGATATCCACAATTATATAATTTGCCGGCTCAGGTTTTTTTTCCTTCTTTCAATAATTTCCGTTTATTGATCAATTTGCTTATTTGCATATATTTGTTATATTTTTTCATTGCATAATGATTTAACAGTGCTTTTGATAATATCAGTATTTAGGAATAATCAATAAATAAAATTAAGCTTTATTAATTTAAATTTAATTTAATCTTTTTTTTTTTACAGGTAATTATTTCGAAGAATTCATTCAAATTTAACATCGGAAAAAGTATTATTTCTATTGGTATGGTAGAAGGTTCTCAAATTCAAAATCTTACATTTAATCAACAAAATGAAGTTCGTGAAAATCGTGTTATCAATCCATTTCCATATCTTAATCCACGATTCACTCCTTATGCTGCTTTAGTAGTTTCTAGCAGGTATACTTTATTCATTTTATTATTTTATCGAAGATTTCATCTAATTAAACTGAACCTCTCTAATATTTTCCAAAGTAATTATAATTATTATTAATTACTGCGTAATTTTTAGCAGGTATATCATATCATTTTTATTATTTTAAATGCTTTTTTATCTAATTAAACTTTAACCTTTTCCAGTTCTTTTTGATAAAACTATTATTATCACTGTTATGTAATTCTTTATCAATTTTATTATTTTATTAAATTTTTCAATAAATTATACTATAACTTATTAAAAATTTATTTCCACAAATATTGTAAAATTATTATTAATAGGTTAATTACGATTAACAAATTTACTTATTTGCAGCAATGTGGTAATTAATCGTAATTGTTTCAAAAATCCTCAAGCAACATATGAAATAGGCAGTGAACTTGGTGAGCATGCCAAATGGATCGATGCTCGTGAAAATAATTGGGGTTATCCGAGACCTGAATTATTTATGCATCGAATTTTTGATCAATTCAATCGTTACACTTTAGCTACCATTGAAGTATGTTTGTTTAGTAAAATGAGTTTGCCAATTACTCATTCATCCACTGATACCACCCATTTATTTATTTATTTATTTAATTTCAATTAAAAAAGTATGAATTTCATTTTTTGTCATTTTTTCTGTGATACATAACGAATTCGGAATAGATTACATTTTGGATGATACATAACGATACATAACGACTTTGGAGTAGATTACATTTGAATTTCTTCACTTGGCTTATTTCCAAAGCAATTTCTTTCAGAATCACAGAAAAAAATTTTTTACATCAAAAAAGCGTCGAAATAATTTTTTATTCTGAAATAATACGAAACGGAATATTTTGAGAATCAAAAAGAGAAATAAAATGGATTAGAAAAATTTTAATTAACTGAATTGGAAATTAATTTATTATTTTTTTTTTGAATAAATTGACTACTTTACAGGTAAATCCATTTGCTGCTGTGTGCAATCAACGAAGGCCTCATATTACTGCCGTACAACAGTATTATCGTTCATTTCGCAAAGATAGTGAGCCGTACATTTTAGGTGGTACCATATGGGAAAATCAGGATTTAGGAAAAGGCTTGTATACGGTTATAGATGATTTGAATATCGTACCTGGAGCACGCCTTACATTATCACCAGATACTGTACTGCAATTTAACAATGGTTTAGGAATGCTGGTTCAGGTGTTACTTTTGAAATAAATGATCGTGAATTGGAACATGTTTAAATTACAACTACAGTATCTATAATCCATTAAATTGTTTAAATCAATTTAAAATAAATTTTATGCAGGATATTTTAGATTTTAAATTGTGGACTTAATTTATTATAATTTTTATTGCAGCATCCCTTTTTTAATTAATATTTTATTTATTTGTTTTGGTAGCGAAAACTTTTTTAGGGGGAATTAATGCGTACAGAATTGCATTCTTCTGATGAAATGGTAAAGTTCACAAGTACACCATTTGTTCTTCCTCATCCGCCAAATATTCGCCTTGTTGACGAAGATGGTAACACTGATGTTAGTAACTGCTATTATATTAACTTTTGAAATATTGAATACTGTATCAGATTACTGTACTAGATTACGGTAATATATTGAAACAGCGATAATTATTGCTTGAATGACAATTATATCAATGTGCATCAATTATTTTAACATATCATTTTTACAGTTAAGAAAAATTTTAGTATTAATATCGATTTGTAACAATTTGTTCGATTTAATTTATCTAAATATTTATTAATTAAAAAATATTTCAATAATTCTTCTAGCAGTAGCTATTAAATATCAGGTTACTGTATTATAAGCAAATAATGACAATTACTGTTTAAATCAATGTTTGTCAATCATCTTGATATATCATAATTAATAGGCAATATTAATATTAGCAATGATTATGGCATATAATTGAAATAGTTTAAATCAACAAACATTTATTAATTAAAAATTTTATTTCAATAATTTTTTCTCCTCATTTATGATTTCAATTGTTTTTTTAGATACTTGCTGGTCGTTTAGAAGTATATGTTAATAATCAATGGGGTACAATATGTAATAAAAGTTGGACCAAAGAATTAGCATTATTAGCATGCAATCAACTTGGCCTCATAATGGATCCGGAAAATTTCGAAAATTGGCAAATATTTCCGCTACCGGGTGAATTATCAATTGTAATGGATAATATTCGTTGTGAAGAGAATGAATATGATATTACAAATTGTCGACATGATGGTATTAATCATAATATTATAGCATCATGTGCATCAACAAATGTTGTTGGTTGGTTTGTTTATTTTGTTTTATTTCTTGGATAAAATTAAAAATAAACAAAAATAAGGATGAATTTATATTTTGCATGTTTGGTACTTCGTCCACAATCAAAGTTTTTAATTTTTAATTTTTGTTAAGAAATTTAATTTCATTTTCTTTTTTTGTTTTAGTAGCTTTGAATTTTTTTAATTCAACTTTTCTATAGTTTTTTTTTATACATAATATATCATTTAATTGGCAGATTTTCCATGTTTCATTTCAATTATTATTACTGTTGTTGTTACTATGATAATTATTATTGACTTGATTTTATTTTTCTAATCTTTATTAATTAATGCAAAAAACATTTTTTGCAGGATTACGTTGTATGGAACCTCGTTGGAGTGGTGTTCGATATTCTTTCCTTGCAAATCCACCATTAGTTACCGGTCAAAGTACCATGGAAAAATGGATTATTGAAAAAGCTGGCCTTTTTGATTTTCGCTTACCAAAATTTAGTGCAGCATTACAAATTGATTGGAATTGTCATACATTTCATAATTTGTATATTAGAGATAATTTTTGGAATGGTATTGATATTGTATACAATGATTTAACAAGAAAACCAGCAATTCGAATGAGCCGATTTGAAAATAATCGTCGGCATGGATTGAAAATCCGTTCACAAGGAATTACAATTCAAAAGGTTTTTATAGTTTTATTAAATTCATTGGAAATCTTCGAAGTGTTAAAAATTAATTCAAAATTTCTTACTATTTTAGTACTAAGTAAATTGAAAGTATTCACAAAAAAAATTCTAAGCATTAAAATTAAATTTAAATAGCATTTAAATTATTGTTTTTTTTTTGTTTTAAAAGTTTAACAAATTAAAAAAAGAAGCAGTTCTAGATAGAGTAGCATTAATTAGATTAATTAATTATGCTAATTTTTTAAGCTTTAATTGATTTTTTAATCAATTATTATAATAATTCAAATGTCATAATGAAGTTTTTCTTGCTATATTAAGAAAAAAATTTTTTTTCCTTTTTGGGTATCTCTAACCGGAAATGGACAATCCGGTTTTCGTTATGATCCATTAATAACAAATGATTTACAACGAGATATAGTAACATGGTTGGAACGTCGAGAACAACCGGAAATGGAAGCTAATAACGTTTTTATAATACCAAATGTTAACATTGATAAGTTAACAGTTTATGAATCACATCTTAATCAACGAAAATTTTTAATTGCAAAAGTAACATCAGATTGTCCACTTGGTTAGTTGTTTCTTTTCATTGTTTTATTATTACCTTATTTCATTAAAAGAATCTTAACTAAAAATGAAATTATAAATTTTTGAAATTTAATATAATTTAAATTGAATAATTTTTTATATTAATTAACGACTGATAAAATATTGTTTTAAAAGATAAAATTATTAATTAAATTAAATTATCTTTTTTGCTAAAAGAAAATATGAAACATAATATAATAGCAATTTTGTATGTTTCAAATATTTTATTAAAAGAAAAATTATCATTCAGTGATATCGAAAATGAAAAATTTATCAGTAGATAAAATATATTTCCTTTCTGTCTCTCTTCTCTCTCTCTCTCTCTTTTTCTTTCTCCTTTACTATTATAATATAATCTGTTATAAGTTGAAATTTTGCTTAAAATTAAAATTTTCTTTTTCTTCATTTAAATTTTTAGCACTTGTTGATCCATGTATCCATGAAATGTCATTATTTGCAAGTGGCAGTGAATATGGTTTGAATTCAAGATTAGCTATACAAGTAATCCTTTTGTTTATATTTCCATGAAATAATTATCATAATTGAATGTTGAAAACGAGAATTTATAACTGATATATTTCTTTTTGTTTTACTTAGCTTAGAAAAAGCAATTAATTAATTAAACATTTAATTATTGAAAATTGTCGAATGAAGATAGAAACGAAGAAATAGTAACGCTGAATTAATGTTTACGTTGGAAATTTCTATACTAATTTTATTAATATACACTAATTAATTTCATTTAATAAATGATAATTTCATTAATACCAATTACAATGATAAATGATAATTTCATTAATATACAATTAAATCATTTAATTGAATACAAATATTTACTTAGAACAACAAAAAGAATGCGTAAAACTTGACGTAGTATGAATTTTCCAACTTATATTTTTCACTGATAGTCAGATATATAATTTTTATCATAACTTCTTGATTATATAGTTTAAAGTGATACGAAACTTAGAAGATAAATACATCAATTAATTAATATTAATGACAGGTTATCAATCGTGTTAATGAGGAAAGCGATGAAGATATCCTTTTAATTGATAATATTGGGAAAAAAAATTGGAGTGTACGCAATGATCTTATCAATTTTCCCATTATATCATTATCAAATACATTACAATTAAAATATACGCGAACATACGGGAAACCATCAGTAATTATTCTCGTACTTTTTCTCAATGGTAAGTTAAATTATTCCATAACAATTTTAGCGGAAAAATTCTCCCATAATTCTATTATAAATAGAAATTTGTCTTCAAACAAAGCTTTAAAATTTATTCATTAATTTCAACGTTGAAAATTAGGACATCAGAAATTTTAGTATTGAAAACGAAATTCTGAAGATTGCTAATTAAAGCAATGAATAATAATACACTTCGGATATATCTAATATTAATCGTTTCATCTTTTTCGCACTGAATTTAATCGTACATGATGCTTAGAATTTAAAAATGAAATTAATTTTAATTTAACACTGAATATTCAAAAATTTTAACATGATAATTAGAATTTAAAAATACATGATAATATGATATGATAATTAGAATTTAAAAATGAAATAATTAGAATTTAAAAATGAAATTAATTTTAATTTAACACTTTAACACTGAATATTCAGAAATTTTAACATGATAATTAGAATTTAAAAATACATGATAATATGATATGATAATTAGAATTTAAAAATGAAATAATTAGAATTTAAAAATGAAATTAATTTTAATTTAACACTGAATATTCAAAAATTTTAACATGATAATTAGAATTTAAAAATACATGATAATATGATATGATAATTAGAATTTAAAAATGAAATAATTAGAATTTAAAAATGAAATTAATTTCAATTTTAGAGTTATACTTCCAAAAAAAGAAGATACTAATTTTGCTTTAATTTAAATGCACACCTTTAATTTCTCACACCTTTTTAAGCATAAAACCTTTAAACCCCTTTAAACATATTTTTAAACATTATTTCTCCGTTTTCTTTATTCCTTTTTTTTACAGCACAGGAATATTTAAATCGATTTGTACATGTGTATCAATCAGAAATAATCAATAATCAATATGCCGTATCATCGGTTCATTATTCGAATTGGACAATTCAGAATGAAATTTTATTAAATCGATGGGTAAATGAAAAACTTTGGTTTCAAAAAGTTAATTTTATGAATAATACGGAAGCTATCATATGGATTCATTCACCACAACATCTCATTTTCAACAATACGCCAATTGCTAAGGTTTATTTCCATATTTAAATTTGAACAGTTAAGAAAAGGAAATGAAAGCTAATTAACTGATTACCTTGTTTAATTATACCTTGCCGAACATTATACCTTGTTTAATTATACTTTGCCAAACATCTCATTTTCAACAACACACCAATTGCTAAGGTTTATTTCCATATTTAAATTTGAATAGTTACGAAAAGGAAATGAAAACTGATTAACGGATTACACCTTGTTTAATTATACCTTGCCAAAAAACATTTCAAAAGTTGTTTAAAATTTTATTGCATAGTAAAAACCGTAATAAAAATACTTCATAGAAAAGCATTTAAATTAAAAAATTTTAAAAGTTTGCTGGAATGAAAAAAATTACATAAAATTTAAAACAAAAGTATTTTCTTATATTCTTACAAACACGTTATAGATAAGAATGTACAGTGAGAGTATTTTGGAATGAATGAATTAGTATTTTAAAAAATAAATGTTTAATTGATAAGAACCATATCAATGTAGTAATTAATATTTTCAGCAACATTAATTCTCAACTTAAACATTTTTATATGAGACATTTAATAAAACATTTATTATAACTTATTATAAATAATTTGAAAGTAACTAAATTTTTAATTTGATAAATTTTACAGATTAGATAAGGAATTGTCATATTTGTTATGATTTAATTATTGTTTGACCATTATTGTTATAGATTGGTTATCATATTGATAATTGTTCGATTATTAATAATACTGGTTCAATTATCGAATTACATCATGATCTATACAATAATGCTAATATATTTGAATGGTTTTTTTGGTCGAATACTTTTTTAAATAATGCAAATAGTACAATAATGATACATCTCCCTGATACTATCAATTTACGACTACAACAAATTCATTCCCTCAAAGTATTATTACATTTTTCATTCATTTCTTTCTCGTGTAAATCATGTACAGTAAATGATTTTCTTCTATGGATTGAATATAATAATAATTTTTTCTATGCGAATAGTACAATAAGGATTTTAGCTATGCAAATAGTACAATGGTGATTTTCTTCTATGAACTGATTACAATAATATTTCCTGTGCGAATAGTGCAATAAGGAATTTTCTATGCAAATAGTACAATAATGATTTTCTTCTATGAACTGAATACAATAGTAATTTTTTCTACACAAATACTACAATAACGAATTTTTTCTATGCAAATAACGCAATAATGACTTTTTTCTATGCACTCAGTACATTTACCAGTTACTATCAATTTTTGACCTGATATATTTCATATTATATAGTAGTACTTTATTAATCTATGAAATTGTTATAATTTCAAAATTTGAAATTTCAAATTTACAGATGACAGAAAATCGATTCGAAAATAATACCAATTTTGCAATATTTATTAACGGATATTATGCATTCATTAATATATCATCAAATAATTTTACCAACAATAATGCACCAAATGAAATTGGTTTAATTACTTTTAATGGAATGGAAAAAGATTTATTTGTTGAACGAAATCGATTTATTTATAATCGTGTATGTATTTGTAGAAAATTTATTTGTTTTAAAATAATAATTGAATTTGAAAAGTTATTGACAGATTGTTAATTTTAAAAATCGTTGGATTCAAGTTTTGTTAAATTTCAATGAAGATATAAAATTTTGTTTTTACTTTATTGCGTAAAACTTAAAGATATGTTTATTTGACTCTAAAAATAACTGAAAATAGCAATTCTCAGGAGAGAATACGGTAAATATCCCCAAAAAATTACAGTAAATGACATAAATAATATCGTATTTCTTTCCTCTCAATATTAATTTTTATTCTAATTTATTTTTTGTTGTTTTAAATTAAGTTAAAAATCACATTTTCTGTCATTATAATATCAGGAATGATAATTAATTAATTTTTTTTTTTTGTTTTAGGGTTGTTGGATGTTAAAAATGGATATTCGATCACATTCATTACGTGATAAAGTAACAGCATGGATTCAATATAATTATTTTTTACAAAATGGTTTTTTAAGTAATATAGAAGAATATGTGGATATGTGGCCACGTTCATTTACGATTGGTATATTTGGATCACAATTAGCTAATATTCATTTTAATCGTTTACGGAATGTTTTATTCGATTTTGAACTTATTTCTGGTGCTAAGGTTATTTTTGATTTCTATTTATTTGTTTATTATTATTATTATTATTATTATTCTCTTTTACCTTTTATTTATACATTTTCCTTTGTTTCACTTATACCTTTTTGTTTTCTTCATAATTATTATTTTTATTCATTCAAAATTTTACAACAATTTTCATTCTTTTATATTTAATTCAACAAAAAAAAAAAATTAAATTCCAATTTTCATTTCTCTTTTATGTTTAATTGAATAATAAAAAATTGAATTCCAATATTTATTCCTTTTATATAAAATTCAATAATAAAAAATTAAATTCCAATATTCATTCTTTTATATACAATTCAATAATAGAAAATTAAATTCCAATATTCATTCTTTTATATTCAATTCAATAATAAAAAATTAAATTCCAATATTCATTCTTTTATATTCAATTCAATAATAAAAAATTAAATTCCAATATTCATTCTTTTATATTCAATTCAACAATAAAAAATTAAATTTCGATTTTTATTCTTTTATATATAATTCAACAATAAGAAATTAAATTCCAATATTCATTCTTTTATGTTCAATTCAGTGATAAAAAATTAAATTCCAATATTTATTCTTTTATATTTAATTCAACAAAAAAAAATTAATTACAGTTAGGAAATTTTGTAACACTATTTCTGATAAGTTATTCATTTCTATTATAAATTAAGTTTTTAAGTTCGCTTCTTTTTTTTGCTAAATAAAACAATAAATCAATTGAATCAATTGTTTTAATGCAAAATGAACATTTTTGTGTATGTGATTTCAACTTTTATTTGATACTTTATACATCCATTTAATTTTTAATTAATATTTCTTTTAATTAATAAATAATTATTTAATAATTTTAATAATAATTTTTTTTGTAATTTATCTATTTAATAATAATTTTATCTATTTAATTTTTTTAAACTTACACATATTCTGCCAATATGAAATACCAAAATTTAATTTATGAAATATTTAGAGTGCAAATGTAAACGATACGATGAATGTAACATATAATTGGTGGGGTGTTTCTAATGAAGCAGCAATTTATCAACGAATATTTGATTTTGATGATTGGAATATTTTTACATTGACAATGTTTAGTCCATTTTATGTTACGGAGGAAAATTTCATCAGTTTTTGGTGGAAACCGCAAAATGTTTGTAAATTATTAAAATTAATTAATTAATTAATTTTTTCCGTAATTAACATGTAAATATATTGCAGTTATTTAGATTTGTTTTAAAATATTAATTTACTGTTATAGAAATATTTAGCTAAATTTCTTACCAACTAAAAATTCTAATTATTACACGGAAAATTTCATCAGATTTTGGTGGAAACCGCAAAATGTTTGTAAATTATTAAAATTAATTAATTAATTTCTTCCGTAATTAACATGTAAATATATTGCAGTTATTTAGATTTGTTTTAAAATATTAATTTACTGTTATAGAAATATTTAACTAAATTTCTTACCAACTAAAAATTCTAATTATTATACTTTAGTTTCATAACAAAAATAAATATTTTAGTTTTTTGGTTAAACATAGAAGATTGAGAATTTTGATAAATTAAATTTAACTTATGGTAATATTATATTATCGAATAATATCACTATATGATGCATTCTTAAATTTGAAATTCGATCCATTTAAGATTTAAAATTTATGACCACATAAATTTTTCTCTTTCTTTTATCTTTCAATTTTTAAATTTAAAGTATTATGTAAGATCGTTATCATAAAGCAGTTTTAGAAGTAACGTTATCATAAAATTACTTTATCATGAAGTAATTAAAAAAATTTTATCGCCTATTATTCTTTTATTATTTCAGGGACAATTAGCAAAAGAGAAATATTCCGAACCATCCATTTACAATTTAAATGGTCGTATTTATGAATCCAAAAATCTTACCTGTAATCGTGAACGTTGGCATGAATTCCCATTTTATTATAAACCATTTGAACCATATCGAATTATCAAAGATTTAACAATTATGCCTGGCGCTACACTTACTATTGAAAAAGGCGTTGAAGTTAGTTAATTTTAATTAATCCATTTATTCACTTCATTTCATTCCTAAAATTTTAAATTTACAATATACTTCTTTTCTTTATATTCTTTTATATACTATATATACTTTTATATACTTATATATACTTATAAACACTTTATATACTTTCATATACTAATTTATATATTATTATATACTTAATATACTTCTTTATATTTCCTTGTATTCTTAAGGGGAATGATACTTTTGATTGATAATTTTTAGAAGTAATAAAATAAATTGATAAAGCATAAAATGATAAGTTAACATTAATTTTTTCTTATCTAAAATTAAATTAGTATTTTTTTGCTACGTTTATTTTTATTGCAGAATTGATAGAAAAGAAAAACGAAATTTATGAAAAATTAACTTTGACCTTAACAGCAGCTATTAATTTTATTGAAATTCATAATTAATAATTAATTATTGAATTGTATGATATATATGTTAAGATGTAAATGTCTCAATGAAATTGGCATTTTAGGTACATGTTTGGCCAAATGTACGTATTCTTGTATTGGGTAATTTAAAAGCAGAAGGAACATATTGGGAACCCATACGCTTTAAGCCAATTAACGTAACGGAATATATGGAAGAACATGGCGCAATCGTAGCACGTCATGAGCGCTCGAATCATTGTTCCATTCAATCTAACAATCTATGTCGACATCAAAAGAAGCGACAATCTGAATCGTTAATTTTTCTTTTATTTCAATTAGTTTCATTTTTAATTTTCAATTGATTTTAATTAATTTCAATTTAAAAAAAAAATATCTATTCTGTTAAATAAAGATTGTTAGATTTAATCCTCTCTCTTTTCCTTTCTCTCCCTCCGCTTTCTCTCTCTCTCTCTCTCTCCCTCTTCCTATCCAATTTTATCGTCATTCCATTGAAATCAGTTGTAATTAAATTTTTAATTTTGCTATTATTATCCAATAGCTAAATAAAATTATAATTACATTTGATGATAATTGTCCCTTTTTTTTGTTTCTTAATTATCAAATTAAATGAATCGAATTTTATTTTATTGTTAAAATATTTAAATTTAATTTCTGATACGTTTCAGAAAAACGAAAAGAAAGTTAACATCTTAAAAAATTCGTTTAATTGGATTATTACTATATAAGAATTAAAAAATATTATTTGATAGCAATCAATTTAATCGTAAATTAATTAGAGAATCATTAATTGAATTAAATTTGAAATATTAATTACTTTAATAGGATTGGAAAAGATAGTATTAATCAATATTTTCCAACAATAAATCGATATAATTCATATTATCAACAATTTGTGATACGTTTAAATGGAACAAAACCAATGATTGGATTCTTAGAATTCTATAATGCAACAACAAATGAATGGATACCATCTTGTGATCGACAATTTACTATACGAAATGCTCAGGTTTTTGATAATTTATAATTTTGATTATTTCCATTTTAATGCATATATTTAAATTTAAATCATTAATTATTAATTTAATTAGAAATCATTAATTATAAATTTTAGAAGTTAAAGAAATAATATGAACGAATAAATTTGTTAATATTTTGAATTATATTTGAATATAAATTATTTTTGATAAGAAAAACCGTTTTTTTTTTTTTTTTGCTTACTTTATTAGTAAACTTTGGCAACAAAATTTTTTATTGTTTTAAATTTAAATTAATTTAATATTAGAAGAGAGAAAATTTTTTTTAGGTAGTATGTCGAGAGCTTGGCTTTAGTGGCGCAAATGTTTATGAATGGTTAACACCGCGATGGAATTATAATCCAAAAATAATCATTCGAAAGAATTATGTTGCACCACGGCAATGTATCGGAATAGAATTAAAACTTGAACAATGTCCGATACGAATGAGTAATAATTTAAGTATGTGGCAATGTACTGATAATGAACATTTTAATTTCATACATTGTGGTGATGAAACAATCCTAAATAGGTATGATTATATTATTATCAAATTATAAATTTATTTTATAATAGAATTGATAATTGTTAATATTCCCAATTAATTTTATTGTTCGTTTTTTTTTTTAATTTATATTTGAAATTTTATTATTATTATTAATTTCAAAAGGAGGATAAGAAGGGAAAGAAATAAAAATCGAATGATATATTGATATATCGAATGATATATATCGAATGATGAAAGTTTGTTAATTGTATTAAATAAAAATTAATACTTAAAAAAACTAATTTGTAAGTAAAAATAAGATTTAATTAAAAAATTAAATTTAATTAAATTAATGAAATTAAAAAATCATATGGAATTTAAAAGTTTGATTTGATTATTTAAATAAATCTAATTGTTTAACCCAATTTGAATGAACCTAAAATTAAATGGGAAAATTATGCAAAAATCATTTAAATTATTTAAGTGATTTCAAATTAATGTATATTTAAATTTTCTATTAAAAATGAAAAAAAAAAGAAGAATGATGAAATGGAATAAAATTAATTAGTAAGAAATATCAAAACGACGAAGTTTATTTTTTGATGATAATAATAATAATAATAATAATAATTTATTTCTAGCAATTATATTGGTAATTGGGGTGGTATTACAATTGCGCATGGTAGCATTGATTATGAGCAAATTAATACGACAGGTTCCAATTTTTATTTCATTTCAAAAACATAATTTAATTCAATGCACTATCGGTCATCTTGCATATTTTTAATTTTTAGTAATTCAAATTAAAATGGAAATTATTCAGTATGTAATTTCAGTAAGCTTACAATAGTTATAATTAATTAATAAGGTAATTTTAGTAAGCTTATAATAGTTTTAAGTAAATTAATAGATAAGCTAGTAATTTATTTTGTTTTCATTTCACTTCACTTCACTTTGTTTTAATTCAATCTAACAATTCAATTCATTAATGCTTGTATTTCGTGCAGTAATAATATTTATTCCCAAATAAATTTATTGAAGAAAGTCTTAAAATTTTTTTACAAGTTTAATTATGAATAAATATTGTAAAATATGCTAAGTTAAATGAATGCATTGTTTTTCGAATTACAGAACAATCGATATTACGAAATGTGGAAATTGTTGGTGGTGGCTTAGCGCATAATGAAACAATTGATGTAGCTGCGGTATTATCCATTGGACGTAATCCGATGTTTGATCATGTCAACATTACAAATTCGTCCATGCATGGATTACAGGTTTCACGATTTGTAATTAATCAATTTCAAATTTGAAATTATTGAATTTCTAATTTATTGGGAAAATTAGGAAGCAAAACATCAAAAGAAAATAGCAAACAAGCAAAAACTAATACAGTAATATTAATAATTAGTTAAATATAAAAGTGAGATAATGCTGTTATTATCAAAAGCTGCCAATAATATTAAACATGGTAATAGAAAATAATCTTCCATTATTTCCTTTTAATTTTTTTGTTTTTGCGTCTTCATTAATACTTATTAGTTAATATTTACTAGTTTCGAAATTCGCTTAAAATCTAAAACTATTAATTAATAATTTGTTTCTATGATTAAAGATAGAATAAATTGATAAGAATGACTAATAAATGGTCGTAAATATCAGAAATTCATTTGAATTAAAATTGGTTATTATATTGCAAATGATGAGGCAATTAATGTCAAGAAATTTATACAAAAGTTTTTACTTCTATTTATCGAATTTACAGATTCTCATTCCTCATAAGAATATTATTTTGAACAAACTTAATGTAACACAAAATCATGGTTACGGTATAAGTTTTTGGGTATCAAATTCACAAGGATCAGGTGGAAATTCAGGTTTTTTTTTGTAATATAAACAACTTTATTATTACCAGGAAATATTGATAAGCAAGCTTTTCTTCTTTTATAAAATTTATAAGATAGCATAAATTTACTGCAATTAATGTTTAAATCAATAAGATATAATTAAAATGCATTTATTATTCTTAAAAATAATTCATGTATTCATTTTATTGCATTTCACAATTTCCTTTTTAATATTTCTACTACAGTGTTTTATACTGTAATGCAATAGCTACAGTATACCAACAATTACAGTATCTTACCGTAATAGTTACAGTGTGCCACAATAAAATAATATTTTTAGCTAATGTATTAGGAATGATGAATATCATACCATATAATGCTCGTGGTTTATTGGATATTTGCGCAGCGCAAAAGCAATTTGAAGTTATAAATCGTATAATAATGTACTTCAAGTATGATTCGCATACTGTTGATTGCGTCAAAATTTTTACATCATCGAAACAAAATATTGGATTTCGATTTCTTTTGGTAAAAAAAAAATTTTTATCCAATTTTTACAGTAGTACGCATTAATTAGAATTGTTTACCCGAAACTAATTTCAATTATATAACAAATGATTAATATTTTTTGTTATGTTTTAAATAATTATTAATTATAAGCATTATATATGAATTTAAAGAATAAATTTTTAAGTGCTAATCGGTAATTTTAGTGCACATTTTGCAAAAAGCTTATTAATTAAAAGTTTTGTAAATTATATTAATTAGTTTATTAATTAGTTTATTAAAAAAAAGTATATTAATTATTAACAAATAATAATGTTCACAAGTAGAAATTTGCTATTTTTTCTTCACTCATTTAAAATTATACTTTAGTTTCATTGATGAAATTCAATTAATAAATATAATTAACGAGTAAACAACTATAGATGAATCTATACGATGGCTCGCAAATGAATCTTGGACGTTTAGATTCAATAACACTATATAGTGATGCTAAATTTACCCAAATTATACATCAATTTACTTCGCAAACATCAGACTGGTCTTTAAATGTCCAAGCACAATCACTTTTGGCCATACATATGAGAGCTAATGCAGCCAATGGTATTTATGGATTTATTGCTGAAATTACTGTTATTCCAGCATTGGCTCAAACATGTAAATTTCTTTTATTTAATTACTCAATTATTTATATAAATGAAATAGGGATTAATTACTTCTAATGATAAAATAAGTATGCTTTTCGAGAAACTATCCACGTTATTCGTAAAATGTTTGTTTAAAAACGTATTATGCAAATCTTTATAATAATTTCTGATATCAATTTTATTTATCACATAAATAAAATGACTGAATTTTTTCTGTTAATTTATTTAAAAATTAAAATTCACTAATTTTATTTAAATAAAATAATTCTATAAGCATGCTTAATGGGATACTACCTTGCATTAATCTTGTAATATTATTATAATTATTTCTAAAAAATTTTTTCATCCATTTAATTGATCGAGCTAATGAGCGAAATTTTATAACAACTTCTAATAAATATTTCTTTGGAACAATAAAATAATATTATTCGGTAAGTTAAATTTTTTTTCACATATTTTTTGTTTTCAGATATAGCGAATGAAATTTTAATACGACATAGTCGTGTAGAGAAAAATGATCGTGGTGCAATATTTTATCGTAATACAGGTGAAATAGGACCTAGTCTTGTAATTAGCAATTGTATGATTCAAAAAAATGGTTATCATTTATTTGGTAATATAAGTACAACAACTTCTGCTATTCAATTACATTTTCACAATACATTGGTTTGTAATATATTCTTTGTTATTTACCATTTATTTTTATTATTATTTTTTTTCATTCCTCACACTATTGTTACTGTAATTCATTACCATATACGATTATTGTAATTTCTTCCAAAAATTTAGCAAAAATTTTTGTGGTACCAATACATTGTTTAATTTCGATCAATTTTTGTTATTTACCCCGTGATTTTCTCGTTTTTCTTATCTCCGACTCTCATAAAATTATATCTTTTTTGAACATTCGATTACTATTACTGTCATTTAATGCCGTATACCATTACCGTATACGATTATTTGTAATTTCTTAAAAAATATGGTAAAAAATTTTATTATTATGATCTCATTTTTAGCTTTTTTTAATTACAGTTGGCACAGTTTCGTAACAATTTATTGATGGATAATATTGGTGGACTGTGGATGACCGCTTTAACAACTAGTCCAATTGCTCGATTAATTGTAATTATCCGAGAATGTGTTTTCATGCATAATTCGAATGGTACTACTCTTGCTTTCTTAGGAAATGGTAATCAGGTTAGTTTCCTTTTTCTTCCTTCTTCTTAGCTTTCTCTCTCTATCTTTCATATTATGGCAGTTGTGAATATTATAATTATTCTGATTGCTTGCTATAATTTGTTTGATTCAAATTAGATCGGCGCTTATGTTCTATTACTCATAAACAACAATAATAATTATTAATAGATCAAACGAATGTTTATGCGAAAAAGTTATGCTTAAAGTTAATATATCTGTTAAAGAAAAATAAAATCTTCAAATTTTAAAATATCTTTATTTTAACATATTTTAATTAAATATATGAAAAGCAAAAATTAGCAAATATTAATTGCTAACTAATTAATTTGTTAATTAATTTCTATTTCTTATCATTCTTACCACATTTTTTCTATCATTGTCTTATCAATTAATCATTGAAAGGTTGTTAATAACAAATGGATCTTTTGCAGAAACTATGGTTATTCAATAATTTGATCAGAAGTAATTATGCGCTACATCATGATACAGTACTACTAAAAGGTATTATAGCAAATTTAACGCGTAATCTCTTTGCTAACAATACAAGCTTACACAATCTTCATTTACAACCTAATTTACCGGACTCGTTGGATTCATATATATTGTATAGGAATTGGTTTTATAATAACATTGCTCTTGGACATGGCTATCAATATCAGGTTTCATATATTTTTATGCTCATAAATTTTTTCTCATATATCTTAATTCATCTTAATTTAATTTGAATCATATTAGCTTTTAATTTTTACTGAAAAAAATGGAAATTTTAATTTTAATAAAGATTTGTTAAATACTTTCTGATTACAAACTCTGTTTACTTCCGTAACATACACAGAAAAAAGGAATAAGCAATGAATTTTAGCTGTACTAATTTTTTCATGACATTTTCAGGAGCTATATGGATATCAACCGGATTATATGTCGGATGAATTTGTACATCGATCGAAACGAGAAATAGCAATGGAAAAGAATGTAAGCTTCGATTGGTGGACTCATATTGGTACAGATTCGGAACGTTATCCAAGTACAGTATATGCAGGCATTTCGAATATACTGTACCGTGAAAATATATTCAACAATCCGGTTAATCCATATGAATTGGTTACGGGGAAAGCAAATAGGTAAAAGAGATCGTATCTTATCTAATTAATTAATTTGATTGGTACTTCGACAGAATTTTGTTCGCCGTTATCAAAAAATCCATAATATCTATCAGTAACGATTATAGTTATGTTAGATTAAAAAGTGTTTCATCACTCAGTTATAGATATTCGATCTAATTATCAGGTAAAATTAATTGTTTGAATTTTGGATATAAAAAATTCAATGAAAAGTCATAATACGGAGGTCATAGTTTAAGAGGCTTACTAACTAGCACCATTTACGGTTTTGAAGGTATTTGTCGAATTTAATCTTAACAATGCTTCAGGGCTAACTATCATAATTATATTAAATCTTAGCATTTGCTAATATAAAAACTAAGTTTAGCAGACCAAATGATTATTATAATCAGTTTTATGATCTTCTTTCCTCTATTTTTAACTATAAAAGAGTATAAGTAACCATTCTGATTATAGTTTGAATTGAAAGTTTTGAATTTACATAGTTGAATTTGAATTTCTTGTAGCCGAGAAGGGCATGCAATTGATGCACGAGAAAATTATTGGGGTTATCCAGGAACAGCAAGTGTTGCTAGTGGGAAAATTCGTGATTATTATGATTATGAATATTTACTTCGAGTGGATTATATGCCAGTTCTTGAATCCAATGCATCACTTATTGAAGGTATATGATTAATTATTAATTAACGAAAAAACAATCAAATTAAAAGTCTTTTCAAATTAAAAAAAATTTGCCATAAGAAAAGAAAACAATTAGTTAATATGAAATTTGTGTTGTAATCATTTTCTTAATATAACAACGAAAGAATTTTCTTAATTTAGCATGATATTTCATAATGATTCTATATATATATAATCATTATATATATT